ACGTGTAGAAGGTATATGAGGATTGTGAAAGGAGAATCAGGTTAGAAATGCAATGCATGTGAAGATCCTATCACAAATAAACACAAGTAATGGAGAAACTAACCATAGAAAAATCAAATCCCACCTCTCTGCCTTGCGCGCCAAGCTGCTCGCTTGCTCAAAAGCCACGGCTGGATGTCCCCCACCAATGACCGCCGGCCACGCGTCCGTGACAGAAACGCAAATGACTGCCAGGAGCGAAGGCAGGATCAGTGAGAAATGATAAGGCTAGGTTCTTGGCACGTTCTTTGCCCTCAAGCAGTATTAAGTATTCCACTTTATCACAACGAGAACGAAAACTACTACGCGTTTGGCTAACGAGAACGACGAGGGGATGCCATTCGCATACGGACCCTGTGCGAAAGAAGCACGGTCGACGACACGTCCTCGTGCTGCAGCGCGTCTTCTAACGCGGACGAGAACTCGGGGTCTGTCTCGTTGCCTTGCTCCGGGTCTTGCTCTTGATCAGTATCCGTCTCCCCCGGTTCTTGACCGTCGAGCTCTTCATCTTGAATGGCTTCTTGTCCTTCATTCTGACCATTCGTATCATTCATATTATTCTGATCCGTCTGATCGTTCTGATCGTTCGGATCATTCTCATTGATCCGATTATCGTGATCTCCAGGAACCGAATCTTTATCGTCCACCTCATCGGCCTCGTCGACCTGATTCGTTCTACGCTGCTCTGCACGAAGATCCGACCTCTGACCAGGTTTGACTGACGGGATGTGATAACTTGGGAACCTATTGCTGAGAGAATAAGCGTCCTGATCTTCTACGTTTTGTCTCTGATCGACAACTCCACAACTGAAGTCTAATCGCCTCTCTACCGCATCATGAATCTCATCGTGATCGTCCATTTTATGAACAGCTCAAGAAATGTAGTTCCCTGTTCGACTGTACAAACGCGTGAAAATATCACACAGAAATGTGAGAGTTAGTGTTGGAGAACCTGCGGCTGAATAACGACGTTAGTGACTTCAACAAGATGCCCAGTATAACTATGAACCTGGACTGAATTCGATTGACGGTCTTTGCGGAGCGGCACTACAACGCGGCATACACGAGAATCATCTATGGCCAGGGGGACTAGGGTCAACGGTACACCTGCTTCTAAACTCCAGAACAAGGACGCAAAGAACAATGGTGGCCCCAGACTCTGGGTGGGTCAATGACACCAATCGAGGTGAGAGAAATGGGAAAACCGCTCGACCGAACCGAAAACAGGGATCCTCCGAACCGAGAGCGACAATCTCGAGGGCGAGGGAGGGCAGAGGAAGAGGGAGAAGGCATGGAAGTGAAGTGGCGTAGCTGTGGGAACAGGGTGGGATGGGATGGTTGGGGTAAAAGGTTTAATACAAGGTGGGATACGTTTGTATGAGTTTGAATATGGTGCGAGATTGGGGAGATAGATGGGAAGAGGTGGGGGGAAGTGGTGTGGTGGAGGGGCTTCCATTTGTGCCGTTTGGGGAACATCACAGAACCGCACCGCCCAAACCTTGCAAACCATACTAAGCAATTGGCGGGAAATCGAGCCGCGAAATGACTAGCTTGAAGCCTGTCAGGTATTCTTCAATACAGCTAGTTCTCTACACTCGACTTGGCTTATTTTACACCAGAACAGAAAGAGAATGGGAAAAACTTAAACACCAGAAACGGGGACCTCTACAGGGTGGACCTGAATCTGGCAGAGATGCCTCCCAAAAATCCTTGTAAGTTCCCGACTGTGGTCCATCATCCTTCAGCTTCTTTTCGTGCGCGCCATGGCTAGTGGCTGCATTACATCGCTATCCAGTCCGCTTCAGCTCCGCGGACCCGTGATTGATAGAGTCAGCTCTGTACACTGCCCTATCTCGACCAGGAAAGTCAGACATATTTCCGCTACCCAGTGTTCTCTTCCCTTATCCAGTTTCCACACTAGAGTAGTTAAGGCTGGTCAGGCGAACGAAGTTAGCAACTCCGACTTGGCACATCGCGCGATCGAGGAGATTCGCGCCGTGTTTGACAGAATCGCACACGCAGCAGCATCTGATTCCGCCAATGCGGCCGGCGCGACTGACGATGCCGCGAAGGGTGACCCTTTTGAGACGCTAGTGAAGGAAATTGTTTCCGCAAAAGACGGAAAGATTGCTCTCTATGGAGTCGGACGGTAAGCCCTCGCTCACTCGGACTCCCTATATCTCCACTCTTCAATCAATTTAAAACCGCCTGTTTCTCATAGGCTCCTGTTTTTTACCACACATACATGAATGCGACAAAGGCTGGCACATTGACAAAGGTATCATTCCCAATCTTTCTTTTTTTCGCTCTCCCCCCTCCCCCTCCCTCCCTTTCCCCCCCCCACACCCACCTCTCTCTCTTTCCGCCGGAGCAGAAGGGTCTCATCATGCAAGCCCTAGCGATGCGCCTGTACCACCTAACAGAAGCTAGCACATTGTCTAAGTATCATTCTACATCTCTCACTCTGCCCACACCCGCCTCCTCCCTCTTTCCCTCCCGAACAGAGAGGGTCTCATGATGCGAGCTCTGGCCATGCGTCTGTACCACCTAGGCTTGCAGGCATCCGTCGTGGGTGACATGTCCTGCCCTCCCATTGGTCCAGGAGATCTCCTCCTTGTCAGCGCCGGCCCTGGCCGCTTTTCCACTGTAGAGGCTCTTCTGAGGGAGGCTAGATCTGCAGGGGCCAGGACTGCAGTCATCACTGCACAGCCGTCGGGCGATTGTGCCAGGCTGGCAGATCGTGTGGTCTACATTCCTGCACAGACAATGGCAGATGATCTCGTTTCTGGTGAAGGAAGGGATAGGGTTGAGATTGAGGACGACGGGGTGCTACCCATGGGGAGTGTTTATGAGGGAGTGTTATTTGTTTTGGGCGAAGTGGTAGTGCGTCTCTTGCGGGATAATCTGGGCGAAACTAAAGAGTCCATGCGTGTACGGCATACCAATTTGGAGTGAAGTTCACAACGCCTTTTCCGTCTAGGGTTTAGTATTAGAAGCCTCGATATCTCTATCACCACGGGAATGAATTTCTGGTCCCCTAATGTGCTTTGAACCATCACCCCACTTTTCACTGATTCCAGAAGCAGTATTTTACTGCGAAACACTAGTTCATGCTCAACCTCCGTCATAATCGTCTGTCGTTGCCGCTGCTTCGCGTCAAGTGGAATATTCTGCAGCGAATAAGAGCACGCGCGATTGGATACGCAGTCGATTGAAGCCGGGTGGTTGTGAGCCCACGCTAACCCACGAAAAGCTACTGGGGAGCCGACTGGGCTTTCAAGGGAACGAACTTGCAGCTGATCATAAGACAAAAGCAAAGTTACGACTTTTCTGCCGATCGCGGTTAAGTGATGATTTGAATTCTCCTAGCCTTCTAGCTTGCGAAGTCGCATTGTCATTGAGCCGGATTCAGCCTGTCAGCACCAGCACCCATTCTCAATTCGTGAATTCGTGAATCTTTGTCTCCACATAGCGGACAGAGCAACACCAGCTGCCATGTTAGCACCAGTAACCACCCCAACGGCAGCAGCAGCAGCACCGTCAGCAGATGATTCACCACAAACAGCAGCGCCAGCAGCAGCAGCAACAGATGAACCATCAGCAACAGCCACACCTACCACCCCAGCATGTCCCAGTACATTTGAGAAGTCTCAGAAATCCATTCCGTCAGCCACACCAGCACTGTCAGTAGATGATTCACCACGGACAGAAGCACCATCAGCAAGGGCAGCAGATGAGCCATCAGCAGCAGCCACACCTACCACCCCTGCATGTCCCAGTACATTTGAGACGTCTCAGAAATCCATTCCGCCAGCCACACCAGCACTGTCAGTAGATGATTCACCACGGACAGAACCGCCATCAGCAGCAGCAACAGCCACCCCTACCACCCCAGCATGTCCCAGTACATTTGAGACGTCTCAGAAATCCATTCCGTCAGCCACACCCGCACTGTCAGCAGACGATTCACCACAAACAGCAGCGCCATCAGCAGCAGCAACAGATGAACCATCAGCAGCAGCCACACCTACCACCCCTGCATGTCCCAGTACATTTGAGACGTCTCAGAAATCCATTCCGTCAGCCACACCAGCACTGTCAGTAGATGATTCACCACGGACAGAAGCACCATCAGCAAGGGCAGCAGATGAACCATCAGCAGCAGCCACACCTACCACCCCTGCATGTCCCAGTACATTTGAGACGTCTCAGAAATCCATTCCGTCAGCCACACCAGCACTGTCAGTAGATGATTCACCACGGACAGAAGCACCATCAGCAAGGGCAGCAGATGAACCATCAGCAGCAGCCACACCTACCACCCCTGCATGTCCCAGTACATTTGAGACGTCTCAGAAATCCATTCCGCCAGCCACACCAGCACTGTCAGTAGATGATTCACCACGGACAGAACCGCCATCAGCAGCAGCAACAGATGAACCATCAGCGGCAGCCAAACCTACCACCCCGGCATGTCCCAGTGTCGGTCCTTTCCATGCCTATTCTCTTCGTTTCTTCTCCTCCACCTCGAGTTCCGTTAGAGGAGATGCTTATAACGGGGCGTGCAGCACAGAGTGTTTTTCTGGGTTCATGTTGCTGACGTCGCCTGCCATTGGACCGCTGGATGCTGACGTGGCACACATGGAAGTCCCCCTTTGCTCCAAGTATTTTAGCAATCGCGCTCCTCCTAGAGATGCCGCTCATGCCCCTGCTACAGAAGTTGCGCCTGCTGCTACAGCTTCGGAACCTGCTGGCAGCACCTCTCCTGGGGTTCCCCAACCCCCCTCAGTTGCTTCGGGATCGGTCCGCCTCTCCCCTCTTGGAGCCCTCGCTCTCTCGCCTCAACGGGTCAGTCGCGCTCAGACCAGGCAGGTGCTTCAGGTGCTTCAGGTCGTTCAGTTGACTAAGACGCTTCAGTTCGGGTGATTCAGATGGTTCAGGTGATTCAGATGGTTCTTCAGATGGTTGAGGCTATTCAGATGGTTCCGGTGATTCAGAACGTTCAGGTGATTCAGAACGTTCAGGTGATTCAGAACGTTCAGGTGATTCAGATGGTTCATGTGATTCAAATGGTTCAGGTGATTGAGATGGCTCATGTGATTCAGATGGTTCAGGTGATTCAGGCGGTTCAGGCGATTCAGGTGGTTCAGCAGGTTCAGCTCATGCATGCAGGTGTCAGAGTGCGTCAGGTGCTCACGCAGGCGTTGGAACACGTCAGCTCCACACCCATATGCATGCACCCCTCATTCTCCCCATTCTCCCCATTCTTCCCATTCTCTGCCTTCTCCGCCTTCTCCCCAGACTCCCCCGTCTCCCCCTTCTTCCCCCCCTCCCCCTTCCCCCCTGCCTCCCGCGTTTTCTCGAATGATCTTCAGCTGGCCAGCGCCATGTGCTACCACATGCGTCTGTTCGGCATGACGTTGGATCGACAAGACCTCATGGACCATGCTCCCATCCTCGCCCAAGCTGCTGCTGCTGCTGCTGCTGCTACTGAAACTGCTGCTGCCACTGCTGGTTCAGCAGCAGCTGTCATTACGACCGACGCTGTTGATGCCGCTGCTGCTGGTGAGCACACGCCCATCACCGCTGTGCGCCCCTTTGGAGCCTTCTGGACCGCATCCCACTACTGTCTCGTGCTACCCTGCTTGGTCGAAGGAGGAAAGGAAGGAAGGGAGGGAGAAAGCGAAAGAGGAGGAGGAGAAAGAGGGACAGCAGCAGACTGGCGAGGGGCAGCTGAGGGAGGGGAGGAAGGGAGCGGGGCGAATGCAGGCAGGGAAGGCGAAGGGGTGGATGCAGGGGATCGTGGGGGAGGGGATGATGGCATGGGCAGGGGAGGGGATGATGATGATATGATGCGCGTGTTGTTGGGGAGGATTGACTGGGAGACGGTGGATAGGGTGGTGTCTCTGGGAGGCCGTAGTGCCGCTTCTCATGGCTGTGCTCGTGATGCTCCTGGTGCTGCTGCTGCTGCCGCTGATGGTATTGGTGCTAATGCTGTTGCTGTTGATACCAGTGCTGTTGCTGCTGTTGATACCAATGCTGTTGGTGTTGTTGATACCAATGCTGTTGCTGCTGCTGATACCAATGCTGCTGCTGCCACTGATACCAAGGCTGCTACTGCTGCTGATACCAATGCTGTTGCTGCTGATGGTGACAGTGGTGGTGGTGGTGCCAGCACGCCCCTGCTCATGACAGCTCGCGGGCCTGTGGAGTTGCATGACCTGCGTGGCATGGCAGCATACGCGGATGCTGCTGTTCCAAACAACGCCCCTGTTACTGCTGCGACCACACCCCTGCTTATGCCTGCTCGTGCCACTGCCAGCACGCCCCTGCTCATGACAGCTCGCGGGCCTGTGCAGGAGCATGACCTGCACGGCATGGCAGCATACGCGGTGCATTCGCATCTGCTGTACCAGCTGGTGGGGAGGGACCCTGAAGGGAGAACAGCACGGAGTGAGTTCAAGGGGCTGCATATAGGCACGTTCCAACAGCACTTGCAGAACCAGTGAGTAACTGCATGGCATGGCAGCATATGCGGTGCATTCCCATCTGCTGTACCAGCTGCTGCTGCTCTGCTGCACACACCGTCCACACTGCCCAACCCCTACTGCACGATCACACCCTTAAACCTTACACCCCTACCCCTACCCCCAATAAACCCCACACCCCTACCCCCCTCTGCCAGGTATGGCATATCGCTGCATTACCCCGACCAACGTCTGTTTGCTGCTTGCGCCCCAGCTGAAGCCAGAGCCGCACAATGCACTGCTGCTGCTGCTGCTCTGGTCATTGCCAAACCCTTTTACCCCTACCCACATGCACTGCACTCCTAACCCTGATACGACTAACCCCCCTCACCAGGTACAACATATTGCTGCAGCACCCCGACCAGCCTCTGTTTGCTGTGTGCCAGTTGAAGCCAGAGCTGCGCAACTCACTGCTGCTGCTGCAGGCACTCCCATACCCTTACATCCCTATCCTTATGCACCCCTACCCCTACACACCCCTATCCCGCCATGCCAGGTACAACATATTGCTGCAGCACCCTGACCAGCCTCTGTTTGCTGTGTGCCAGTTGAAGCCAGAGCTGCACAACGCACTGCTGCTGCGGCAGGCACCAAAATGTAAGTGACTCTGTGTGTGTGCATGCATGCGTGCGTGCGTGTGCGCGTGCTTGTGTGTGCATTGATCCTCTCTCCATGGTCCCTCCTCTCTCCATGGTCCCTACATGTGTATCAATGTGTGAGCCAGCCCGTTTGTCTGTGCTTGTGTGTGCCGGCAGGTCCCCCTTGCACCACCCTCCCTCCCTCCTCTCCCTTCCATCACCGCCTTGCATCGCCCCCATGACATCACCCGTCCCTCAGTGAACACTTGGGATCCCGCCAACAGGGCGATCCAATCAGCTTTACATCATGTCCTGAGGAGAAATCTCACCCCCCATCACCCCATTACATCACCCCTCTCGCAGTGGATCCTTGATAATTTCTCAATCGGGCTGTTTAATCAAGTGGTTTGACGAGTTTAGAGGCGCAATTTGAGGGCCCCTTCCCCGCCCTCTCTCCACCCACCCCTCTCGCAGTGGACCCTTGGGATCTAATCAACAGGGCCGTCCATTCAGCTCTAAAATATTTCCTGAGAATAAATTCTCCCTGTGCCCCCCCTCCCCCCATCGCCCCTATTACATCGCCCCTCTCGTGGGCAGTGGACCCTTGGGATCTTCTCAACAGGGCGCTCCAAGTCGGTCCATTCAGCTTTACAACTCATCCTGCGAAGAAATTCACCCCGCCCATCGCCCCCATTACATCACCCCTCTTGAAGTGGACCCTTGGGATCTTTACAACAGGGCTGTCCAAGTGGGGCGAGACGAGCAGACGCCTGTACCTGCCAGTGCTACAGTGGGGATGGCTGTAGCAGACACGGCTGTAGCTGACAAGGCTGTAGCTGATACAGTTGCAGCTGACACGGCTGAAGCAGAGACGGGTTGCAGCAGAGAAGGGTGTAGAAGAGAGGGCTGTAGCAGAGAAGGTTGAATCAGAGAAGGCTGCAGCAGTGAAGGCTTTACCAGAGCAGGCTGTAGCAGTCAATGTTGCAGCTGACAGGGCTGTGGCAGACAATGCTGTAGCAGACACGGCAACAGCAGGGAGGGAGCAGCAGAAGCAGGCAGAGCAGCAGCAGCAGCAGCAAAGCACAGGGCAGGAAAAGGCAGCTAAGGGGGAGCAGCAGCAGGGCAGGGAGAAGGACAGGGGGGGACAAACATCATATCTCCCTCGGGAGATATCGTACCTCCCATTGGAGCTACTGGTACCGGTGTTTCCGATGCAGCACGTGCTCTTTGCCTCGCTGCTCCCCTCGCTGTTCTACCACCTTGACTGCCTGCTCACTGACCGGGATATCTGGCGATTCATTGTGAGGCAGTATGGGTGTGAGCATCAAGGGACTTGTGAGGCAACTTGCAGGGCAAAGGGCAAGGGTGTTCACAAGAGGAAAGGCAAGGCGAATTGCGAGAGCTGCAACACTCGTGGTGGGGAGAGGTGTGGTAGGTGTGGCAGGTGTGGCAGGTGTGGCAGCACTGGTGGTGGTGGGTACAGCAGGGAATTGCAGCCGCACTGGTGCTTCAAGAACCGCATGTTCCTGCTATTACTGTGAGTCACGCCTCTGCCTGCACTGCACTGCACTGCAATGTACCGCAATGAACCAACACTGTACCGCACTGCAATTTACTACACCACACTGCACCATAGAGAGCGGCATGGGCACGTACGACTCAGACGAGATTAATCCCTCCCTCCTTCCCTCCCTCCCTCCCTCCCTCCCTCCCTCCCTCCCCCTCCCTCCCTCCCATCCCTCCCTCCCTCCCTCCCTCCCTCCCTCCCTCCCCCTCCCCTCCCTCCCTCCCTCCCTCCCTCCCTCCCTCCCTCCCTCCCTCCCTCCCTCCCTCCCTCCCTCTCTCCCTCCCTCCCTCCCTCCCTCCCTCCCTCCCTCCCTCCCTCCCTCCCTCCCTCCCTCCCTCCCTCCCACCCTCCCTCCCTCCCTCCCTCCCTCCCTCCCTCACTCCCTCCCTCCCTCCCTCCCTCCCTCCCTCCCTCCCTCTCTCCCTCCCTCCCTCCCTCCCTCCCTCCCTCCCTCCCTCCCTCCCTCCCTCCCTCCCTCCCTCTCACCCTCCCTCACTTCCTTCCCTGCACCCCTCAGCTACTGCGTGCCCTGGGATGCCCCGGCGTCGGCACCTACGAGAATGCATCAATGCCTCTCAACTCAACCACCCCTTTCCACCCACCAACATCCCTCCCTCTTCCATTCCCCCTCTCAGCTCCTGCGCGCCCTGGGATGCCCTGGCGTGGGCACCTACGAGAATGACGAGATTCTCGGTGACAGCTGTGTGCAGCTCGCCACATCCTGCCACCTGTTCTCCACTCTGCTGCCACGTCAGCAGCAGGATAATGGGCGTGGGCGTGGGCATAAGCAGAGGCATGGGCATGGGAACAAGAATACGCTGGGCGTGGGCGTGGGCGTAAGCAACGGCTCAGCATACGCTGAGAGCATTGCCGCGATGCAATCACATGCGCCACACAGCGAGTCGTCCCTGCCACCAGTCTCCAAGAGACGGCCAGCTGGGCCGTCATACGTTCACTTGAGACGGCACTGCGTGAAGCTGGTGTCAAACAAGCACCTGGCAGCGCGGGCAGTTAAAGCCGGAGTGCCCGCCCTCGTTCGCTGCAAGCCCTTCACACCCACGGATTGGATCGGCCCCCTAGTCCCTCCCACGCACGCTGTGCTGCTTCTGGCTGACTCCCTCTCTCACTCGCTCCTCCAACCACACTCCCCCTCACACTCTCGAGCTACCGCATCTTCCCAGAACCCTTCTCCTAGCCCCAAAGCCCTTCTGGACTCCGCCTTTGCCTCGTTGGCAGTGGCACAGCCAGCAGCCAAGTCAGCGAGCCGTTCAGCCAAAAAAAGGCTGGCTGACGTGGCAGAGGCCTTGGTGGGCGCCAGCTGGCGGTGCGGCGGCGCTGACATGGCGCTGCCGGTGCTGAGGTGGCTGGGCCTGCCTACGGAGGGCGTGGGGGAACTGTTGAGGGGAGAGACGGGGTGGAGGGGGAGAGAGGCGGAGGGGGTGGCAAAGAGAGGGGTGCTGGGCGTTGCAGCAAACCCAGATATGGCGCTGGACGTGCCATCAGAGGGCGTGGGAGAGCTGCTGAGGGGAGAGATGGGGTGGAGGGGGAGAGAGGTGCTGAGGGGAGAGATGGGGTGGAGGGGGAGAGAGGTGCTGAGGGGAGAGATGGGGTGGAGGGGGAGAGAGGTGGGGAGAGATGGGGTGGAGGGGGAGAGAGGTGCTGAGGGGAGAGATGGGGTGGAGGGGGAGAGAGGTGCTGAGGGGAGAGATGGGAGCACGAGAGATGGGAGCACGAGATGAGAGAATTGGAGCAAAGGGTGAGTGGCAACAAGCACGCATGGGAGCAAACTAAACAGCCTTTTGAGCTATTACTTGAGCCGCCAGAGAAGCTGCCTAAGCTGCTTGAAGGGGAATGCGTGCAGCACCAGGATGGGCTGACTTTTGAGTCGACTGAAAAGCAAACTAGACATCCGTTCGAGCTGCCACTTCAGCCACCAGAAAAGCGGCATAAGCTGCTTGAAGGGGAATGCGTGCAGCACCAGGATGGGCAGCAGGAGGAACAGCAGCAGGTGCAGGGTGTGCAGGTTATAGAATGCTTGCAGCAGCAGCAGCAGCAGCAGCTGACTTTGCCCAGCTTCCCAGAACCTTCCACCGCCAGAACGAACCCCAGGTGCCACGTGGCAGCAGCTGGCTGGCTGCTGGAGCTTCAGAATGCGATGGGGTATCGATTCAGAAATGAGGGGATACTGAAAGTGGCGATTCGGGAGGAGGGGTTGAAGTGGCAGAGACGGTTTGTGTTCCTGGGGGAAGCTGTGCTGGACTTTCTTCTCATGCACCACATGGTGCAAGCAACATCTGTGACGGCCCATTCTCCTGCCGCCACGTCACCACATGCCACGTCATTGCACGCTGCCATGCCTTCGCACGTTGCCACGTCAGCGCACGCCACCCGGCCGTCCCCGCACCAGCTGACGAACCTGCGCATGGTTGTGAACAACATGAAGCGGTTTTGCCAGCTGGCGGCGTGCCGTGGGCTGCTGCGATTGGTGCGCAAGATACAGCGGGCGGCGAAGGCTGCTGCTGCCGATGCAGCTGAGTTGGCACATGTGGCTGCTTGGGAATCGGGAAGGGAGGAGGAGGGGAAGGAGAAGGAGAAGGATGGGGAGGAGGAGGGGAAGGAGAAGGAGAAGGATGGGGAGGAGGACGGGAAGGAGGAAGTGAACTTCAGTAGAGAAGGCAGGGTTGGATCACAGAGGATGTTACAGCAGGCTGTAATCAAGAGAGGGGAGGCCGTGGGGAGAGGGGAGGACGTGGGGAGAGGGGAGGACGTGGGGAGAGGGGAGGACGTGGGGAGAGGGCAAATGGGCAATGGTGATGACATTGATGATGAACAGAAGCCGTTCCGCAAGGTAACGCCGTGTAACCATATGAGCAAGCAGGTAATTATGTAACCCTATAGATGGTACTGACGTACTGTCTGTTTGCCTGTACCACTTACTTTCTATCCACATTGGTACAACCTTTGAATGCCTCACCTTTCTTTCTACTCGGGGCTGCCCAATTCGTCTTGCGCCCCTCTTGCGTCCCTTTTGCGTCCCTCTTGCCCAATCCCAATCCTGTTTTATGCACTGCAAAGATCTGAACGGCTAGGCCTACCCACATACATACATACATACACACACACACACACACACACACACTCACACACATACACACACACACACACACACACACACACACACACACACACACACACACACACACACACACACACACACACACACACACACACACACACACACACGCACGCACGCACGCACGCACGCACGCACGCACACAACATCCATGCATGCATTCATGCATTCATACATACATACGTACATGTACATACATACATACACACACACACACACACACACACACACACACACACACACGCACGCACGCACGCACGCACACAACATCCATGCATGCATTCATGCATTCATACATACATACGTACATACATACATACATACATACATACATACATACATACATACATACATACATACATACATACATACATACATACATACATACATACATACATACATACATACATACATACATACATACATACATACATACATACATACATACATACATACATACATACATACATACATACATACATACATACATACATACATACATACATACATACATACATACATACATACATACATACGTACATACGTACATACATACATACGTACATACGTACATACATACATACATACATACATACATACATACATACATACATACATACATACATACATACATACATACATACATACATACATACATACATACATACATACATACATACATACATACATACGTACGTACGGACGGACGGACGGACGGACGGACGGACGGAAGGACGCACGCACGCACACACACAACATCCATGCATGCATTCATGCATTCATACATACGTACGTACGTACATACGTACGTACGTACGTACATACATAAATACATACATACATACATACATACATACATACATACATACATACATACATACATACATACATACATACATACATACATACATACATACATACATACATACATACATACATACATACATACATACATACATACATACATACATACATACATACATACATACATACATACATACATACATACATACATATATACAATCTCTTGCGTCTCAGCATTCTTGACGCGCTGCAAATCTTAAAACGGCTAGGCGTACCCACACACATACATGCATTCCTCTTGCCTTTTCAGTCGACTCTAATAAAGTCATGCCATTACCCACATACATTCCTCTTCCTTCGCCATGCTGCAACACTGTTGACAATTCCCCTCCTCCCTCCCCTCCTTTCTTCCCTCCTCCCTCCCCTCTCTTCTTCCTATCTCTCTCCCCTCCTCACTTGATCTCCTACCAGGAGGTTCCTGATCTTATATAGGCCCTCATTGCAGCAGTCTTCCTCGACTCCACTCCTCCAAACACCCCTTGGACTGCATTCAACCCCCTTGCACATCTCCATCTCTCATGCCCTCTCGCCCGCACGTGGCAAGTGGTTTCTTCATGGCTCTCCCCAATCCCTCTGTTGCTTCCCCTCTCCCTCCATCCCCCCTCCGCCCTGCTCCTCTTCTGCGGCGCCCTCGCCCTCCCCCCCCCTATTTACTTGCCGTGGGGGGAGAGTGGGGGGCGGGAGCAAGGATAAAAAATACGACCGAAATATTGATTTTAGGGCCGTATTATACGGTATCGTATTATACGGTCGTTTAAAACAGTTTAGTACGGTTAAATGTTATTTTTAAATTTCGATTAAAAATACGATCGTTTTTTTCGACCGAATTTTTAGAACGGAGAAAGTGTACACCGAATTTCAACAATCAGCCCCGTCGAGTTCGTTTTGGGGGATTTCGTGAGAAGTCTTGTCAGTCTCGCCCGAATTTGGCCCGAGTCGCGCATGTCAGGAAAATGGCGTGGCGAGACATTTTGACATCTGACGAACGGTATAAAATCGCTTACCCATTTCGCTGAGTGGTTTGAGTAGTTCGCCGAATCGCGACGACACCAAATTTCCGAGGCGCGGAAATGTACACCATTGGCGAACCCCTTCAACCTTGGTACCCGTTTCGTGGAGTCGTTAGCACAACTCGCGCGCTGGGTTTATTTTTCGCCCCCAATCCTGACGCCTCGCACAATTGCGCGCGACACAATTCCAGCCAATAGTAATACGCTAATCCATCTCCCATCTCACGTCATCCATTCTTCAAACACCCCTCGACAAAGCAGCACAAAGAGATACATATTGGAGGAGGAAAATCCCATTCGACACATCCTCTCTTTGGCTGCCGTATCTCAGAACAACAATCTCTGACCCACGCTTTCTCAGCATAGTCTAGTGGAACGCCATGGTGCGCCCTGCTTCTCAGTTTTGGGAGCACGTCATTAAGATTAAGGATGAGGAAGGCAACATAGTCGGTGCTACTTGCATTCATTGCAAGAATCCTGTGACGGCTAATGCGACTACGATAGGCAAGCACATGTTCGGCACTAACAAGAGGGACAAGAACGTTGCGATGTGCAAGTCGGACTACGCTAAGCAGCTGCGGGCGACAGCCGATCAGGAGCGCTCGACCACGGAAATTGCTACGGGAGGATCAACCCGTGCCTCCACGTCCTCGGTGGAGGCGCCGCCCGTGCGGCGCTTCCGGCAGCGAGATATCCGTGATATGACGGACCAAGTTGCGCATAATCGCCTGGATTACCTGTGGGCTGCTGCAGTTGCCGAGAACGACCTCGCCTTCAACGCCAGCAAGTCGAAATCGATCCAGGCGTTCGTTGACGCGGTGATCATGTACGCGAAACCGTACACCCTCCCAACCCCGTACAAGGTATCCGGCTAATTGCTGGACAAGCTGAAGGCGGACTCCGAGGACCTGCTGCGGCCGCTGAAGGAGAGCTGGAAGACCAGCGGGTGCTCGCTCTCCGTCGATGGATGGACGGACATCAAATCCCGCGGTTTTGTGTGTGTCATCTCGCAAAATGACACCGCACCCGTCATCGTCGACATCGTTGACTCGAAGACCGCCAAAAAAATCGGGGACTACTTGGCAACGCTTATTCAGGGAGCGATCACCACTGTGGGGCCGAAGCATGTCGTCCAAGTCGTGATGGATAACGCTTCGAACAACAAAAACGCCGCTAGCAAGCTGAGCGCGAATTATCCCCATATCTTCTTCACCAACTGCGCCGCCCACTGCCTCGACCTCATGCTGCACGACATCGGCAAGATCCCTGCCGTGGAACTCGTCCTTTCCCAAGTGCATCAGGTCGTGATGATGATCAAAGGCCCCGCCTCGTGTCAGAATGTTATCTTATGCTTTAGCATATAGTGGGGTGCTCTATAGCGAGTACAACCCTTCTAGGGTTTGCTATTTGTATCCCCATTCTTGCTAGTGCAATCCCCTTCTCTCTTCTAAATTTTCACATGCTATCAGAGCCGGTCGATCCTCTTGGATCGATCCTGTGGGTGGGCTCACCACCTCGTTGCTTCCGCTGCAACTGCTACTGCTACTCTCTGTGCCGCACGCCCCGTGGCGTGCGGCAGTTTTTCTTCCCGCCGTGCGCCCCGAGGCGCGCGGCGGTTTTCTGCCCGCCGTTCGCCCCGAGGCGCGCGGCGGTTCTCGGCCCGCTGTGCGCCCCGAGGCGCGCGGCGGGATTCTGCCCCGTCACTCGGCGCGTCGCCCTCAGGAGGCGCTGCGACGGGCGACGGGGACCCGCACGTCGGCCCCGTCGCCGCCCGCATCGGCCCCGTCGCCACCCGCAGCAGGCCCATTGCCGCCCGCAGCGACCCCGTCGCCGCGCGCAGCGGCCCCGTCGCCGCCCGCAGCGACCCCGTCCCCGCCCGCATCGGCCGCGCCGTCGCCGCGCGCAGCGGCCCCATCGCCGCCCGCAGCGACCCCGTCGCCGCCCTTGCACGGCCCCGGCCCCGCCCCGGCCATTTCCCGTCGCCCGTCGCGGCTCCCTCGGGGGCCGCGACCTGGGGGAGGGGGGCGGGCGCCGCCCCTTCTGCCGCCTGTTGTGGCGCCCTGGGAGGCTGCGCATCGGTCCCCCCCCCCCCCCCCCCCCCCCCTCCCCCCATAACCTCCCTACCCGCCATCCCGCCCTGCCCTGTGTTAGGGTTTGGGGGTGGCGAGTAGGGGGTGGCGGGTGTGTGGTCTCCCCTGCTCCTCCTCCTCTGTCTCCCACTGCTGCAGCTGCCGCTGAGGGGGGTGGGTGTGTGGGAGTCGACGGAGTCGTGCTAGGGGGTGGGGTGTGAGTGACCCTAGCGGTGTAGCAGCGGGTGTGTGCCAGGGGGAGTGGGATAGTTTGGGGAAGCTGAATGGAGGTTGCCGTCGTGTCGCCAGCAGCACCTGTATTCCGGGGACTTCGTCCGGTAGCCCAGTCGTAGCCAGCTGTGCAAGCCGCCCGTGGGTCCGTTGCTCGTCTGCCGCTACTTTAGCCGCGGGGCCAGTTACTCCAGTATTCCGGAGCGTTGTTCCGGTAGCCGCTGTGCCAGTGTGCCTCCTGTTGCCCGTGTGTCTGCAGCTTCAGCCGTTGCCTCCTATCTCCTCTCCTCTCTCTCTCTCTCCTCCTCCTCACTTGCCCGTTGTGACTACCACTAGCTTTGCTCATAATTGTTAACTTTAAACTATTGCTTCTTGAACTTGTGCTCAGAATGTGTGGTGACATTGTGATCCACCCTGAGCTTGTACTGCTTTGCTTGCTCTGCTGATTACACCCCACTTTGGCTATGGGGGTGTGTCAGAATGTTATCTTATGCTTTAGCCTGTAGTGGGGTGCTCTATAGCGAGTACAACCCTTCTAGGGTTTGCTATTTGTATCCCCATTCTTTCTAGTGCAATCCCCTTCTCTCGTCAAAATTTTCACACCTCGGCCGTGGTCTTGTTCCATGAGCTTTTTACCAAGCTCTCGTTGGTGCGGCCTGGTGCAACGAGATTTGGCACCCAGGTCATCATGCTCGGCAGGTTCCTTGAGGTGAAGCGCGCGTTGAGGGCGATGGTAATCAGCGAGGAATGGGAGGATGTAGCAGTGGCACGGACGGAGGAGGGGATGGAGGTTAGGAAGCTGCTTTTGGACGACGTTTTTTGGGACTGTGGGACGGCCGTGCACCGCCTCATGACTCCCATCTACGAGGTTCTCCGCGCCGTCGACACACGGGCTCAAGTCATGGGGCAGCTGTACGGCCTCATGCTTGAAGCCACGGTGAAGACTAATGCGGCGGCTGAGACGGCTGGTGAGTGAGACGGCTGAAAGTTTTACGCGATGGGTATTGATTGTTAATCTCTCCTCCCACCCGCTCATGCTTCCTATCTAATTAGTGCTCTTTATTCACTGTAAGCAGCCGCACACTTCATCAAGCGGACGGGTCTGCTAATGCCGAAGGACAAGAGCACTTTCCTCACCTCCATCAAGGCGATCATTGCCAGGAGGTGGGACGCACGACTGCACAACCCCCTGCATGCCATCGGTTGGCTCCTCAGCCCCCGTAACCTGTACATTGGGGAGGTAAGGAATGACAAGGAGATTAGGAAGGGGGTGGATGAGGTAATCCAGGCCCGGGGCGGAGATGTGCAGCAGCGCATAACGCTAGTTGCACAGGTGGCTCAGTTTCACCGAGGGGAGGGCAGGTTGGGCTCTGACGATGCCCGTTGGGCAGCAACTACCTTGGTGGAGGCGGGGCGCATGACGGAGGCGGAATGGTGGTTCCTGTTTGGTGGGGAGGTGCAGGCGCTCCAAGACCTGGCTGTGACGTCTTTGTCACAGCCAGTCACCTCCGAAGTGGAGAGGTACTGGTCGGCGCTAGCACGTGTGCAGAGGCGCGACCGGAACCGCCTCACGGCGAAGAAGATGATTGACGTCACCTTCGTCGCCTTCACCCGGCGGGCCCGTGATGCCTTTGATCGAAAGGCAGCCCTGCGTTCCAAGCTCTATCAGGACCTGGGCAACGGCACCCTCAGGGAAGGGGCTGCCATCATCCCGGCCGAAGTGGAGGTGGAGGAAGGGGATGCGGAGGAGGAGGCACCCGTGGAGGAGGAATGCACCATTGATTGGTCGGAATTTGGGAGCATCGGCAAGAAGAGGAAAGGGAAGGCGGGTAAGTCATCTAAAGGGAAGAAGAGGGGGAAGGGCAACGGTGCATGCAAGGGAAAGGGGAAAGGAAAAGCAGGGGATGCAGAGGAGGAAGAGGAGGCGGAAGAGAGCGGTGGGGAGGAGGAAGAGCCTGCCCTGAATCCCAAGGGGCGATATGCCTGGGATTGCAGCGACGGTTCAAGTGGGGAGGAGGAGGAGGAGGAGGAGGAGGAGGAGGAGGAGGAGGAGGAGGAGGAAGAGGATGACGAGGAGTATGACGGTTAGAGTGGGGAGGGAGGAGGAAGAGGATGACGAGGTGGTGGAGTAGAAGAATAGAAGGCAGTGGGGTGAGTATAGTGGGGTGGGGATGGACTTAGGAGGAGATATAGGCTACAGGCCGGTACTTGCCTATGTATGCATAGGGGTAGCGGCAGAATTAGTGGACCTTAGCATGCCTGTTTCTCCTTATTGTAGGTTGTTATCGGTTTCCTAGTCTTTGTTGTAGCCATTTCAGTAGATTCTGGAAAAATTCTGACTCAAAAAGGGCCAACAAAAAAACGACAAAATTTTTGGAAAACCGAACGTATTATACCATCGAAAAAAACGCCCCGTATAACACGATAGCCGTATTTTTTATCCTTGGGCGGGAGTGGGGGAAAGGGAAAACGGAGGGGGACGGGAATGGGGATGGTGCGTGGAAGGATGAGGAGGGTGGGGAAAGGGACGGCGGGATGGTGTGTGGGAGTGGTGTGAGAGAGAAAGGTGGGGAGCGGAAGGGAATGGAAAATGGGCTGTGTGAAAATCGCTTGCGGATGAGTAGAGGAGGAGGTGGAGGAGCAGAGGAGGGGGAGGTGGGGGAGGTGGGGGTGGTTTTGGAAGTGGAGGTGAGAGGAGTGGTGCTGGGGGAGGGGTGGGGGGTGGATGACGTGGCAGCAACAGTTGAAGCAGCTTCTGATGTGCTGAGAAGAGCCAAGGTGAGTGTAATGAACGTATGTGATTGTACTGGTGTGAATTCCCGCCTGCTTTCTAAATGACCTTGTCCACTTGTCTTCCGTCTCTCTTCCTGCCTCCTCGACTCTTCTCCTTGCCTTCCCCTCAGACTGTGCAGGGCTTCCGGCAGCTGTACGAGGAGGCAGAGAGGGCACGGGTTCACGGGGCCTACGAGGCCCTTCAAACTAGCTGGTGCTCGCATGATCACGCCTGCTTTCCACTCTCCCCTCTTCCCGCCTCCTTGCCTCTCTCCCCCCATCCCCTCAGACTGTGCAGGGCTTCCGGCAGCTGTACCAGGAGGTAGAGGCGGCGGTGTGTTGAGAGGAAGCAGTCCCTCCTCCCCTCTTTCTTCCCCTCTCCCTCTCCGCGCCACTCTCCCCCCAGACCGTGCAGGGCTTCCGGCAGCTGTACCAGGAGGCAGAGAGGGCACGGGTTGTGGGGCCTATGAGTGCTGCATGGGAGATGCAGGCAGAGGAAGGCGATGAGGGAGTGGAGGAGGGAGGAAAGGAGGATGAAGCGGGGAAAGCGACAGGAGGAGGAGAAGGTGTAGCAGGTATGGAGGGAGTTGTGCCTGAGGGTTCTGTTAAGAATGGAGGGAAAAGTGAGTGTAATGATGGGAATTCGAAGGCAGGAGGAAAGAAGAGGAAGCGAGGCAAGTAAGGAATGGGGGAGGCGACAGCAGCTGCCGGGGCAGGAGCAAAGGCAGGAGGAAGGAAGAGGAAGCGAGGGAAGTCAGGAATGGGGGAGGCGGCAGCAGCTGCTAGAGCAGTGGAAGGGGTGGCAGCAGCAGCAGCAGCAGCAGGAGCAGTGGAAGGGGTGGAAGAAGCAGCAGCAGCAGCAACAGCAGCAGGAGCAGGAGCAGTAAAAAGGGAGATTTTGATAGGTTCGGCCGCTCTGGACGCCCTAGATGGGTTCCGAGGCTGTGTGTCAGGTCAGGCAATTGTAACCACCCTGAATAACTTGTGCCAGGCGCGGCATTGGATGGTAGTATACCAGAGAGTATCTCCAACTTCAAGGAGCAAGTCTGTTCTGGTTTGGAGTGGATGCGCACAGGGTGGGGCCTTTGAGACGTCTCAAAAGTCTTCAAGGAGCAAGTCTGCTGTAGATTGGATTGGATCCGCCCAAGGTGGGTCTACTGTTGGGTGCGCCTCTGCTTCGCCTGCAGCACCTGCTGCGCCTGCTCCTGCTCCTGCTCCTGCTCCTGCTCCTGCTCCTGCTCTTGCTCCTGCTCCTGCTCCTGCTCCTGCTCCTGCTCCTGACGCTGCTGATGCTCCTGCTACTGCTGCTGCGCCTGCAGCGCCTTCTGCTGCTGCTGCTGCTGCTGCTGCTGCTGCTGCTGCTGCTGCTGCTGCTGCTGCTGCTGCTGCGGCTGCGGCTGCTGTTGCTGCTGCTCCTGCTTCTGCTGCTACTGCTGCTGCAGTTGCTGCTGCTGCTCCTGCTGTTGCTGCTGTTGCTGCTCCTGCTGCTCCTGCTGCTCCTGCTCCTGCTGCTCCTGCTCCTGCTGCTCCTGCTCCTGCTGCTGCTGCTGCTACTGCTGCTGCTGCTGCTGCTGCTGCTGCTGCTGCTGCTGCTGCTGCTGCTGCTGCTGCTGCTGCTGCTGCTGCTACTGCTGCTCCTGCTGCTACTACTGCTGCGGATGCTACTGCTGCGGCGGCTGCTATTGCTGCTGCTGCTCCTGTTGCTGATGCTGCTGCTCATGCTGCTGCTCCTGCTGCTGCTCCTGCTGCTGCTCATGCTGCTGCTCCTGCTGCTGCTCCTGCTGCTGCTCCTGCTGCTGCTCCTGCTGCTGCTGCTCCTGCTGCTGCTCCTCCTGCTGCTCCTGCTGCTGCTCCTGCTACTGCTGCTGCTGCTGCTGTTGGTGGGGATGTGCCAATGAATGCTGGATCTAGCAATTGTGGTGTAATCAACGGTGGTGATTCAAGCGCTGGTTACTCTACCAGTGCTACTTGTGGTGGTGGATGGGGGGCTGGTGGTGGTGGCTGTGGGGCGGCTGGTGGTGGTTGGGAGGCGGCTGGTGGTGGTTGGGAGGCGGCTGGTGGTGGTTGGGAGGCGGCTGGTGGTGGTTGGGGGGCGGCTGGTGGTGCCAGCTCTGAACCTGCTAGTGGCAACACTGGTGCTCCCAGGTAAGTACCGTAAGTGCTTATTACATTCATTAGATAATCTGCCATGCAGTGAAATCAATGTTGTTTCAATTATTAATACCATCTCTTTTATTTCCAGGTTTCTCGGTGACGGCTATTGCCTGGATTGTGTGGTAAAAGCAGCTGACGGATCAACGGTAGTACGGATTGAAGGTAAAGCGATGCCCTCAAAAAGGGCGGCAAAACAATGGACAGCAGCCGCAGTGTTGCGAGCCCTAGCCGCCAAAGAGTGGCCCGCCTGTGCCAAGTAGATTTTGTAAATATCATTTCGTGATGGTATATTAACTGGGGATGGGGACTGGACTTACCGTACTCAGAACTGTAAGGTGGCAAATAAAATGGCATGGACAGTCTTACTGTATAATGGCGCATGCTGAAATGTATTTCCATGCACATTGTGAAGGGGGAAGTGAGGGTTGAGATTGACGAAGAAGGGATACTTGGAACAAATAGCTTGAGGAAGAGGTGTTGTGTGTGGTGGGACTAGGTTACTTGAGTAGCAAGAGAATGGTGGGACTAGGTTAAAGGAGGGGGAGTACCCCCTAACATACCGGAGCATAACATATCCAAAGTTTGACGCACCCCCATAGGCTAAGTGAGGGGCATCAAAACAAACATGGCATGCATGTGGTCATAAGATGAGTCAAGAAAAGAAACACAGCAAGCTCATGGTGGATCACGAAGTCCCCACAAATTCCGAGCAAAAACAAGAGGTCACAAGGCCAGTTCAAGTGTTCGCATACATATATAGAAGTACATCAAGCGAAAAGAGACAATACCACTGTAGCTAAGAGCTTACGTCAACAAGGCCTAACTGCAAACAGAACATGTGATGGTCACCAAGCGGAAGGGCCTTGGTGAAGATGTCTGAAGTTTTGGCATCTGAGGCCACAAAGTCCAAGCGTGCCTGACCACGTCGCTGCAACTCTCACAGGAGAAAGTACCTGACGTCGACGTGCTTCACTCTGCTCTCCAGTTGAGACTCTCGATACAGGGGGATCATGACCTTGTTGTCAGCGAAAAATGTCAGTCCAGAGCTCGGCCGCTCACCAAGGTCGGTCAGCAAGAATGTCAACCAGTGAAGCTCCTGCGCAGCCATGGCACGACCGTAGATCTCTACCTCAGCACTAGACAAAGCCACAGAAGACGACCAAATAGAACTCCACGAGATAGCTCCAGCGCCCAAGCTGAAGCAGTAGCCCTGAGTGGACCTCTGTATCTCCACGTCGTCGGCGTAGGAAGAGTCGCAGTGACCAGTCAGTGAACTGGTTGTGTCCCTCCAAGCAAGCCCCATGCCTGATGTAGTCGCCAAGTACTTCGCCACCCTCACATCAGCTATCCAGTGAACAGGACGGTGTCTCCCAGTCGCAACAAAATGAGAGAGGACGCTGAGGGGAAAAGCGAGGTACGGTCGAGTATGAGTCATGAGGTACATGAGGCGGCCCACAAGCTCTGCGTAGGGACCACCAGACTCAAAAGGCTCGTCGGTGAGTCTGTGGTCAATGGCAAGAGGAGTGGGCTGTGTGGTGGAGTGCTGAAGCCCGAACCGCTGAAGGACCTGCCGCACCATATATGATTATGATGATGTGAGCGGCTCTATCCCTGGTGATCTGCAAGCCAAGGTAGCGACGCAACTCACCAAGGTCAGTACACGTGTGTCTCTTCTGCATTTCAGACTTCACCTCAGCGAATGCAGTCCTGTCTGCTGTAGCAAAGACCAAGTCGTCAACGTAGACGAGGACGAAGAAGGGTGTGGGCCCAGAACGAGCGAACAGCGATGGGTCGGCGGACGAAAGACAAAACCCGAGGGCAGCCAGAGTAGTGCGCAGCGTGTCGTGACACTCACGAGGCTCCTGGTGGAGACCGTAGACTGGTCGCCTCACGCTCCACTAGGTCCCAAGCGGGAAAGTGTCAGAGAATCTAGGAGGACAACGCAACCAGATCTCCTCGTGCATGCTGCCCTGGAGAAAGGCGGTGGAGAAGTCGAGGGAGCGCAACTCGTAGTCTCGCTGTGCTGCAACGTGAAGTAATACCCAAAGAATCGTCATCTTTGGGGTCGGTGCGAAGGTCTGGAAGAAGTTAACTCTCTCACGATGATTAAAACCTCTAGCCACATAGCGCACCTTGAAGACATGTGGCGATCCAGGCGGCTGCTTCACCTTAAAAATCCACATGCCGTCGATTACGTTTGCCTCAGGTGGGGGAACTGCGTCGACGTAAGTGCCTGTGGATCTTTCACTCAGGTTGGTGACGGGGGAGGGGTGGGGGGTGGATAGTGTTGTAGCAACGGTGAAGGTAGCTGCGGGCATGCTGAGAAGAGCCAAGGTGAGTGTGATGCACAGATATAAGTGCGAGAACATGAGTGGGGGGAGGGCAGTGGTGCTGGGAGAGGGTTGGGGGGCGGATGATGTTGCAGCAGGCGTGCTAAGAAGAGCCAAGGTGACTACGATGTGATGCACAGATGTGAGTGTGAGAATGTGAGGTGGTTGGTGCTGGGAGAGGGGTGGGGGTGGATGACGGGGTAGCAATGGTGGAGGCACCTTCTGGCATGCTAAGGAGGGCCAAAGTGAGGTTAATGAACATATGTGAATGTAACGAACATATGTGATTGTAATGAACTTATGTGACTGTAACAAACTATGTGACTGTATTGAACATATGTGACTTTACCAAATATATGTGACTGACTAACATATGTGATTGTAGTGGTGTACACGTCACGAGGTAAGTCTTCCTGGTTCCTCGCCTCTTCTCCCCTCCTCCCCTCAGACTGTGCAGGGATTTCGACAGCTGTACCAGGAGGGGGAGGGAATGTGCGTGCTTCCCGTGTCTCCTTGCTTAATTTCTCCCCGCTCCCTCCTCCTTGCTGCCTCCCAGACTGTGCAGGGCTTTCGGCAGCTGTACCAGGAAGGGGAGGGAATGCGCGTGCAGGGCCGCATGGGAGATGCAGGAAAAGAAGGCCGGGGCGGGGGTAGAGGAGGGTGGAAAGGAGGGTGAAGTGGGGAAGGAGGCAGGTGGAGGAGAAGGTGTAGCAGTGTAAGGGGAGTCTATAATAGGTTCGGCCGTCCCAGACGCCCTGGGTGGGTTCCGAGGCTGTGAGCCAGGTCCGGCGGCTATAACTACCCTGCATGGCTCGTGCAAAGCGCGGCAATGGACGGTAATGTACAGTGAGAGAGTATTTCCAATTCTAAAGGATAAGGCAGTTGTGGTTTGGAATGAATTCGCCGAAGGTGGGGCCTTTGGGACGTCTCAAAAGTCTTCAAGAAGCAAGTTAGTTTGGATCAGATCCGACCAAGGTGGGACTACTGTTGGGTGCTCCTCTGCTGCGCCTGCTGCGGCTTCTGAGGTGCCTCAAAAGCTACCTCCGACTTCAAGGAGTAACACTGTTGTAGTATGGAGTGGATCTGCCCAAGGTGGGACCACTATTGGGTGCGCCTCTGCTGCTCCTGCTCCTGCTCCTGCTCCTGCTCCTGCTCCTGCTCCTGCTCCTGCTCCTGCTCCTGCTCCTGCTGCAGTTGCTGGGTATGTGTCAATCGATGGTGGATTCACTGATGGCGGTGTAATCAACGGTGGTGATTCAAGTGTTGGCGGCTCTACCGGTGCTGCTTGTGGTGGTAGTGGTGGGGATGCAAGACCTGCTAGTCGTGACAGCTCTCATCATGGTGGTTGGTACACTGGCACTCCCAGGTACGTAGCTTCTTATCTCATCAAATGCATCGGCTAATCCTCCGAGTGAAATTTAATAAGCTGTTCCTACCAACCCATTGCTAATATTTGTTTTCTTTGATTTTCAGGATTGTTGTTTACAGGTATTGCATGGACTGTATGGTGAAAGCAGCTGACGGATCGACGGTGGTGCGGGTTGAAGGTAGATCAATGCCCTCAAAAAGAGCAGCAAAACAATGGACAGCAGCAGCAGTGTTACGAGCCTTAGCCTCCAGAGAGGGGTGTGCCAGTGCCAAGTTGCTGAACTGATATGATTCTCCATGCAAACATGCAAAAAAATCTACAAGGCAGGCAGTCTATAAAAACATGAACAGAATATTGGTAGGGTGGCTCGGGCCAGCAACGACCAAAAGGTGATATGGTACAATGAAAGCCACAATCAGTAAGAAGCGAAAATTCAGACAGGGAGGACCCTGATCATGCAGTTTGGATTAAAGGCCGCGTGTGCAGACTGCTGCACGGCACCACCGCAAATGCAGGGCGTGCCTTTCTCCCTCCCTGAGCCCTGCCCTGATCATGCAGTTTGGATTAAACCTGGATTAAGCTCCGTGTGTGCAAGCTGCGGCTAGGCACCACCACAAATGCAGGGCGTGCCTTTCTCCCTCCTCCTCCTTGGCCTTCACCACTCGGTGGAACTTTCGACTCGCTCTGAAGTTCAGCTGTTGCAAAACGGCTTCGAACGTGGTTGTGACTCGAGATCTTCACAGGGTGATTGGATGAAGAAAGATTTTGAGAAGGCCTGGAAGGATGATTCGTTCTGATGGTTCGAGCAGTGAGAGGAGAAGCACGGGAAGCCAGTGAAAGTGCAGCAGCAGCTACAGCAGCACCAGCAGCCGTTGCAGCAGGAGGAGCAGAAGAAGCACGATCAGCAGCAGCAGCAACAGCAGCACCAGCTGCGGCTGTTATTCCCTGTCTAGCCTCCGCAGCTTCACCAGTGATTTTATCAAAGACATTTCTCGCCGGCCTGCCTAATGCACCTGCATCCGCAGCAGCACTTGTGTCAACAGCAGCAGGGATGTGAGCAGCACAGTTATCACCAGGAAGCACGTCAGGAAAAGTGCCTGCATGCCACGATGCCCTTCGCGAAATGGGCTGGTAAACGCCTCCTCCCGGAGGTGATTTAGGCCCCCCTCCAGATGTTGCACTGGCAGCAGCGGGTAAACTATCCGGGTGAAGCTTCCAGGTCACCCGCTTACCGAGTCGTGGAGAAACCCCGCTAGTACTGGCTGATTTCAAGATGGAGGGGCGCGCAGGTGATTCCACGGTGGAGCCGATTTTAGGAGAAAAGGAGGCGGTGGTGCTGGCTGATTTCAGGATGGAGGGGCGACGAGCGGATGTGGATAGGGAGGCGGTGAAGGAGTGAGAGGAAGTGTGAGGAGGGGAGCTGGGCCGTGGAGAAACCCCGCTAGTGCTGGCTGATTTCAAAAAGGAGGGGCGAGGAGAGTGGGAGCCGAGCCTTGGAGAAGAAGCGGTGGAGGTGCCAGCAGGTGATTTCAGACTGGAGCGGTGAAGAGAAGGGGAGCCGAATTCGGGAAAAGAAGAAGTGGAGGTGCCAGCAGGTGATTTTAAGATGGACTGGCGAGCAGCGGGGGGGACTAGTTTTGGAGAAGCGGCCGTGGAAGTACAGCCAGCTAGTTTCAAGCTAGAGCGGCGAGCAGCGGGGGATGGGGATGCAGTGGGGTGAGAGGGAGTGAGAGGAGGGGAGCCGGTTCTTGGAGAAGCAGCGGAGGTAGCAGCTGATTTCAGGCTGGAGCGGCAAGCAGACGGGGTCAAGGAGTCTGAGGGAGTGAGAGAAGAGGGTTGGGATGAGGGAGTGAGAGGAGGGGGTTGAGATGAGGGAGTGAGAGGAGGGGATCCAGATGAGGAAGAGAGAGGAAGGGATAGAGGAGGGAGGTGTGACTTGAAGGTCAACCCAGAAGGAGGGTGACCAGGATTGGGAAGAGAGGAATGGGCTGGGGGAGTAAAAGGCCGTGCTACACTTCTTGCTACAGTTCCTGCTACAGTTCCTGCTACAGTTCCTGCTACAGTTTCCGCCACAGCATGTCGCTTTGCAGCAACAGCAGCAGCTGTAGCCGCAACTCCTGTCACAACTTGCGACTTTACAACTTCCGCTGCTGCTGCTGCCGCTGATGCTGCCGCTGCTGCGGCAACCTTAGCAGCAGAAATCGCAAGCCAACCGGCAGTCTCAGAGCTGTGATGCCCGTCTTTAAATTCGTGACTGCGCTGCCCGTCTCTGTGCTTTATCATAGAAGCAAAGTCGTGGCTGTGACGCCCGTCTTTGTTCTTTATCACGGAAGCAAAGTCATGACTGTGAAGCCAATCCTTCAAGTTGTGACTGCGCTGCCCGTCTCTGTGCTTTATCATAGAAGAAAATTCGTGGCTGTGCAGCCAGTCTTTGAAGTCGTGGCTATGAATCCAATCTTTGTTCTTCATCATTGAAGCAAAGTCATGCCTGTGTTTGCTCGCCTCTCTCCTTTCAGCACCGCCTCCCTCTCCTTCTCCTTTTTCCCCTCCTCCTCCTTCCCCTCCTCCTTCTCCTCCACTGCTTCCTCCACCATTCCCTCCCAGCCCACGAGGAGAGACCAACCCCGGAAGCCCATAGCACTCGGGTGGGGCAATCAGCCTCCACACGCCCGTGACGCTGAGATCCGTATCTGATATGCTTTGGGGGATTCGATACACCGCCCGGCTGGAGCACGCAGCCTTGGACGATAACGAATCTGTTTCAGACGAGGCTGAATATGAGGAATCCGGCAGAGCATAGGCAGAACGGCATGCAGGTACAGGGGGGCTGCGGACAAGCCTATTCTGCCGCTCCTGCTGCTGCGGCTGTTTCTCGGGTACGTACGAGCTGCCATGGTGTTTCTCGGGTAGGTACGAGCTGCCATGGTGTTTCTCGGGTACGTACGAGCTGCCATGGTGTTTCTCGGGTAGGTACGAGCTGCCATGGTGTTTCTTGGGTAGGTGCGAGCTGCCCAGGCGCTTGAGAACGGGGCGGCACAGAGTGGGGCAGAGGATTCGCCACGTGCTGTGCGCATACAGCACCGTTTGCTCCGCTTCCTTCGCTTGCACCGCTGCTTTCTCCGCCTCCTCTGCTTCCCTGGCTTGCCTGGCTGCTTGTTCCGCTTGATCCTCCGCCGCTTCGTCTGCTTTTCTTCCAGACTTCCCCCATTCCTCCTCGGGTCCGGGTTCCTCCTCTCCTAACGTCACGCGTCCGATCAACGAATCTCGACCGCCGATTCGTGAGGTTCGGATCAGGGCTCTTCCTCCTCCGCTTCCTCCGCTTCCTCCGCTTCCTCCGCTTCCTCCGCCCCACGCTCCCCTCTCCAGGCTCTTCGTTCGCAAGCCTTGGAGTCGGGCGGGTCTTTCCCGCGCCTCTTCTTCTGCTGCTTGTGGAAGAGAAAGAGAGGGGGAGGCGCCAAAGCAGGGATTGGGGGAGCGACCTGGGGGGAGGGGGATTGCGGGGAGGGGAGTGGAAGGGGGAAGGGCGAGGAGAGGGGGGAGAGAGGAGCGGGAGATTGGCTGGGAGGAGCTGGGAGCGACTTTGGAGCGAGACAACGAAGCAACGGACGGAATGAAGGAGCGAAGAAATATTTAAAGGGCTGGGGAGGTGAGAGAGGGGGAGGTGAGAGAGAGGGAGATGAGAGAGAGGGAGGTGAGAGAGAGGGAGGTGAGAGAGGGGGAGGTGAGAGAGAGGGAGGTGAGAGAGAGGGAGGTGAGAGAGAGGGAGGTGAGAGAGAGGGAGGTGAGAGAGAGGGAGGTGAGAGAGAGGGAGGTGAGAGAGAGGGAGGTGAGAGAGAGGGAGGTGAGAGAGAGGGAGGTGAGAGAGAGGGAGGTGAGAGAGAGGGAGGTGAGTGAGAGAGAGGGAGGGTAGTCTCAGGGGAATAGGAAGGAGAGCAAGGAGACAAGATGGTCGAATAAACCAGATTGGCGCATTACCTGGTGCCACGATTTCGCAAAAGAATTCCGTTTTGTTCGCACACTCGCGAACACGATCCAGTAAATCGCCGAGGGAATGTTTCAGCTGCCCACTAGTCACCAGCTCGTCGTCCGCTGCGATGGTGACAATCCTCCACGAAATCGGCATGCTGTTACGCTCCGCCCCCAGCAGTCGCAGGGGCATCGCCAGAAGAGGAAAAACGTCGTACACGTCGCCAGGTTCGCGCGCTTGCGACCCAATCTCGAGCGCTTCAAGCGGTACGTTGTCGCACGCCGTTAAGAGCGAATCTGTGCGTTCATGATCAGAATCCCCATCATTCGCATCCCCCCGGGAGAACATCGACATGGATCGCGACGCGAGCACGCACGTCTGCGGCAGGATGCCCAGATTCCACGGCGACGCGATTAGGAGCGCCGACGACGACGACGACTTCGACGACCATTGCGACGGCGACGGCGACGGCGACGATGGCGACGACGTCTCCGAGTCGCAATCGGTCTGCACTTTGATACGACTGCCGTCTAGGCCCAACACGACCTTTCGCTTCTCCCGCAGGAAAAGGGGGTCGTCGCGGCGACGAAGCTTTCGGCTCCCGGGCCCGCAATCGGCGGACGAAGACTTGGCGGAGCGACAGACGAAGGAGAAGGTGCAGGCGGGGAAGGGGGGGCCCGGGTGGCGCGGGGAGGGGGAGGAGAAGTCGTTGGCGGGAGGCGGGGGCGGAATGAGGAGGATGTCGTGCCAGATGGAGGACACGTGGCTGGCGTTGATTAGCGGGAGAATGCTCGTGGACGACGATCCGACGGTCCGCAGCGGCGCCATGATTACGTTGTAGATACCAATGGTACCAATGGTTATGAAGTGAGGCAGCAGAGGCAGCAGAAGCAGCAGAAGCAGCAGGGAGGCAGCAGGGAGGCAGCAGTGGGCAGCAGCCAAGTGAACTATTCGTGTGATGCGAGGATGAAGAGGCGGAAGTAGCAAGGCATTTGGTGCAGGTGTGCGAGATTACGATGAATAACGAGGCCTCGAGCTCCGCCTCTCATTCTCAGAGGCATCCGAGAACGAGATATAATAACAGTGTCGGATTGGTTGACCGGATTGATCCAGCCGAGTCGGCGGCGAAACGCCGCGAGCATTAACTGCCCCCCGTCCAAGATTTGCATGCAGTCGGAGAACCGACGACGTCGGCTGTCCAATCCGACGTCGAATCTTATCGTTATCTCTCTCCCGTCCGCCGTTGGTCCCGCAAAGTAACGCACGCTCGTGGAGGCCCGAGGAGGAGCCATGTGGAAAATCAGCTAATGGAACCTCTCCGTTACAGTCGGCTTCCTGACTTGTAGCGACTGTAATTACAGGCAGCCAATGCCTGTAAGTACGGAAGCTACAGTTTAGGTGAGTTTGTCGAGGTCTGGTCCTAAAGATTATGAATCACACACTCGTGCGGATGATGCGAGTGAATGCGAGTTTTCTCTGTGGATGATGCATCACACACTCGCTGCGGCAGATCTAGCAGCCAAAAATAGTCATGGCTGCCAAGGGTGTCGCGTTCAAGTCAAGCCGACTGAGACCTGGTTGATGGATGCGTGTGCTCAACAGCATTTGCGAGGAGAGTTTTGATACGGTTTCGATCTAGTAAATACGGTTGAGTACGATTTGTGCAATGTGAAGCGGTCTACTCGCTTCATGGTGTGAAGCGCTACTCCTAGCCTGAACATTCGTACGGTTAGAAATTTGAGCGAACTTTCGGGTCGGAACCAGCTGCGTGAGCGCGTGGAGGTTTGGGTGCAAGAGGGGGGAGGTTGATTTGGGGCAGCCTTTTGGTTTTCATTTTACACACGGGTGACCGACGGGACGGGAGGTGCACAGTTTGCGTTTGCAATCACAAGCAACGACAAACCGAGCAGCGAAGCGGTTACCGAACCAGCTGCTGGCCCTAGATTCAACCACACCTGCGCATCGTGGTTGACGCAACAAGCTCGGAAGCTAATGTATGGCTGGAATCACACGGATTTCCGAACCTGAAGCAGCCAAAGTGGTTCCAGACCAAGCAGGCTCTCCATTCATTGGGGGGATAAAAATTGTTTTGTTTGCACCAGCACCACCATAAAAAATGTTTTGTTTAGCTCTTGGGAGGGCCGCGCGATTGGTGCCTTCTTGGATAGGGTTTCGGCTCCATCCATGCCAAGCACTAAAATATCTGGGTTGCTCGAAAGTGTGGTCACAAATATGGGCTCACGGATGGTCGATCGTGAGCGGATGGAGTGGGCGTGTGATTTGGTCACCCAATTCCCCCAAGGATTTGAAGCTGCCAATTTCAAATGTATAGGCAAGCTAAGATAATGAAACTGCACACCACACCACACCACATAGTATATTTAGAAAACGTTGACTTTGCAGAATCTAATCAACTGGCACACACGTACGGTAATTAATTGAGAAAACGTTGACTTTGCAGAATCAAATCAACTGCCACACACGAGCCTACCTACCCATGTTTCTCAGCTTCAGCATAAAGAAGTGAAATGCCGTATTTGTTTCTGAGGATATCATACTAGAACAAAACTTGAAATTCTCCCTTCCACAAATGCTTTTATTCATGCCATGTCATATCTGTTCATGCTGACTGAAGTGTTGGGGGAGAGTCTACGCTGGGGAGAGAGCAGGAGATCCAAATGGTGAGCCATGGCTTAGGTTCCGCTTGTGCAAGCTGTTGGAAACAATAAGTCCTAAGTGCGCTTCTGTCGTATCAAAATCCAAGGCACCAAGCGAAGCAGTCCCAATCGAAGCATCGAGTCAACCTCGGAGGTTAGGGTAACCGCCTGGAGGTTACGAGAAAGTCAAAGGTCGCTGACCTTTGACTCGACAATCACAGCGCGACAGTTAAGGACACACAACTGACTCGTTACAGAGCAGTTGCCCGAGTCGCACTGTATCGAACCGCAACAGCAATACAGTTATCTACCTATCTATTCGTATTCCCTGTACTCTTATATAAATCCTTGTATTTGCTTGTTTAATTTAATCTACTTTGCTCTCACACACCAGTGCAAGGTCGGTTCACAATCCTCATTAAACGCTTCCGCTATTACAAGTTTCTACCCAAGAGTTCTCCTCTGCAAAGATCCTAAGGGCTAATTTTTCAGCCCAACATGGTATGAGAGCTGACAGGGGAAAACTCTAACTTTTTTATCATTACAAGACATGGCAACAAACAAGGAAAGGAGCTCCCCTAATGGCTCCTCGGGCACTACTCCTACTCCACCGCCAGCCTCTGGCCTGCAGACAGAGGAAGGCACGGCAGCAAGACCAAGGGGAACGTCAACGGAGACCCCCACGAACCATCGTTCTGACTTCGACCAGAGCATGATGGAGAAATTTTTCTCCTTCATGTCCTTCTACGAGCAACACCAGCAGTCGGGACCTGCACAGACACACAACAGCAACAACGGAGTGACACCCATGAGCCTTGACGGGTCGTCATACGCGCGAGGGAATCAACAGCAGCAACCCACCTTCGCCCCGTACGAACGCGGGTCGATCAGCTTCCTGCCTCAACCTCCACCTGCGCAAGACAAACCAATGGATGCCTTACAAGTACAGTCGCAGTTCGCGCATGTTTTGAAACTTCAGACGTCAAGACCTTTCGACGGAAAGGACTTCTTTACCTGGTCCTTTGAATTCGAGTTGATGATGGAGGGCGCGCAGATACTCGGCTTCTTCGACGGATCCCTACAGTATCCAGCAAACGGGACACAGTATGAAAAGCAGCAGTATACGTACCAATCCATGATGGCGTATACCATTCTACTGAGAAACATCACACCAACCCAGCAGCAGAACATTCGCTCTTACCGGAACTTCGGCAACTCGGCGGAACTCGCGTACGGCCATCTGAAGAACCTGTACCAGGCAACAGACAGTGTAAACCAGAGCAGGTTAATGGCGCAGCTGACAACAGTGGAAATGAAACCAGGAGAAAAAGGGTTGGCGTATATCAGCCGATGTCGCGAATTGCGCGACAAGCTTCTTCGATGTGGAGGGTCAATCTCTGAAGACGCCTTCGTAACAGTCGTCATCGGCGGCCTCGGTCCTCAGTGGCGCGCCACCAAAGCAATTCTTCGAGCACACGGGAGGATCTCCGAAGCGGCACTTTGCGCAGAAATTCACGCGGAACAGCAGGATATGGACCTGCAAGAAGAAAGACACAAGAAAAGGACATTAGCACCGGAGTTTGCTTTCCATACTCAGCGACGACACAACTACTACACCAATCGACAGCAGCAGCCGAAGTTAGTACCTCCATTTTGTCACATCTGCAAGACATCAGGACACCCACGCACGCACTGCCCGTCTCGACAGACAACACCACAGCGACAACTGCGGCCTTCAAGCACCCAAGTTGCTTCGACACAAGCAAGTTCGACAACCACGATTCAAGCTTCAACGACCTCAACTGGACAACCTGCACAAGGAGCAAGACATATAGTCAACTGCATGGTCAAGATAAACGACTCTTGCATAACAGAGTCACCACCCCATTACTCACCGGAAGAGGAACTCAACAAAAGGACGCCTCGTCGCGAATCACTCCGTCCAAATCCGACTTACGCCGCTATCGCTCAAAGTGAACCGTCCGGCCAAGACACCTGGTTCTTGGACAGTTGCTGCGGGCAACACATGTGCTCGTCCGGGCGTTTCGTACAACGCGAACATCGACTCCAACGGGAAGTGATCATCACGGTTGCCAACAACCAAAACCTGCGCACACGAAGACAAGGAGTGGTACAGCTTCAGTCAAGAGAAACAAATGTCATACTGTGTCAGAATATTATGCTCTAGCCTGTAGTGGGGTGCTCTATAGCGAGTACAACCCTTCTAGGGTTTGCTATTTGTATCCTCATTCTTGCTAGTGCACACCTCTCTTTTTGCCTAACTCTCTCTTGCCTAGCTAGGTAAACCCTAGCTATGGCTCCTCACTATACCTACTACTCTCACATGCTATCAGAGCAGTGTCGCTCCTGGCCTGTGGGCCCGCCTGCTTCCGCTGCCCTACTGTCTGTCGCGCGCCCCGTGGCGTGCGATGTACATTTTTTCTTCCCGCCACGCGCTCGGGGCGCGTGGCGGTTTTCTGCCCGCCATGCGCTCGGGACGCGTGGCGGTTTCCGTCAACCCGCGCGCCCGTCCACGTCGACCTTCGCGCGGCTCCCCGTCGCCCTTCGCGGCGGCCCCGTCGACCCACCCGCGGCTCCCCGTCGCCCTTCGCGGCGGCCCCGTCGACCCGCCCGCGGCTCCGCGTCGACCTTCGCGGCGGCCCCGTCAACCCGCGCGCGGATCCCCGTCGCCCTTCGCGGCGGCCCCGTCGACCCGCGCGCTGCCCCCGGGGACCTGTGCACTCGTCCCCGTCGACCCACGCGTCGCCCTCTGCCCCCCCCCCACCCCCCCCCCCCCCCCCCCTCTCTGACACACCTGAGTCTGCTTACCGCACACCTGAGTTCGCTTCCCGCACACTTGTGCACTATTCGCGCACACCTGAGGTCGCTTACTGCACACTCAGGGTATGGGGGTGACGGGAATGGGGGTGGCGGGTGTGTGAGCCGTCACCTGCTCCTCCTCCTCCTCCGTCTCCCACTACTGCAGCTGCCGCTGAGGGGGGGTGGGTGTGTGGGAGCCGAAGGAGTGGTGCAAGGGGGGTGCGTGGGAGTGGAGCTAGCGGTGTAGCAGCGGGTGTGTGCCAGGGGGAGTGGGATAGTTTGGGGAAGTTGAATGGAGGTTGCCGTCGTGTCGCCAGCAGCACCTGTATTCCGGGGACTTCGTCCGGTAGC